TCCCGAGATATTGCACAAATAAGTCATTGGCAACTTACTTCTGATACATTAGGTTCGGACCATTTTCCTATTCTTATGTTTATTCCTCTATCTTTCCAAGTATATGACACAATCTATCCTAAGTATAAGTGGAATATGAAAAAAGCCAATTGGTGTTTGTATCATGACTTATTGGAAGATATTTTCGATTCTACTCCAGAATTTTACTCCACTCAAAGTAAATACGATTATCTCATTGAAAAGATCAATGATGTTAGCGAGATCTCCATCCCTATACTAAGGCCATTTAAAGCTAAGAAACGGCCACCCCCTCCTTGGTGGGATGAACAGTGTATAAGTGCCATAGCACAAAGGACCTCAGCTTTAGCAACGTACAAACAGGACAGTTCTTTAGCCAACTTCGTCCACTGCAAGAAGGTATTTGCTGAAACAAAGAAACTCTTCAAACAAAAATCAAAAAATAGCTGGAAAGCATGGATATCTAAGTTGAATAAAAATACGTCATCAACCGATCTCTGGAAACAGGCTAAAATCATCAGAAGGATACCCATGGGAAAGAAAGCATCAACTAATTCTGATTGGGCAGACGACTTCCATAGAAAATGCTCTCCGTCCTTCGTGGCTGCAGAAGTCGAACCTCCCCCACGTTTACATCAAGACAACTTTTTCAGCAGACCTTTCAACATGACGGAACTAAATCTTGCAGTTAAAAATACCAGAAACACATCACCTGGCTGCGATGATATCACATATCCAATGCTCGTGAACCTCCCATCTAATGCAAAACTATTCCTTCTGGATATATTTAACAACATTTGGCTGAATGCAGACACAATTAGCCAATGGAAAAACATCGTTATAGTTCCAATTTTGAAGCCAAACATGGATCCCAATTGCGCTGACTCATATCGCCCGATATCTCTTTTATCCTGCGTCATGAAGACTTTTGAAAGATTGATCAAAAATCGCCTGGAATGGTGGTTTAGATCTCATCCACTTCCTAACAACCAATATGCCTTCAAGAAAGGAGTTGGAACAGCAGACGCTATTACGAATATTGTCACCGACATTCAGATGTGTTTCACGCGAAACAACTACTTAGCAGGCATCTTCATAGACATTACAAGTGCATATGACAACATCAATTTAAACATACTTCGAAACAAACTGGAAAAATTTGGCATCCCACCTCACTTTAGTTTTACTGTAACAAACCTATACCGTGATAGGAATATTTTTCTACGCAACGACAGTGGCGGAAAGATTGGACCACGACTAGTACAGGAAGGTATCCCACAGGGCGCAGTTTTAAGCCCAATTTTATTCAATATCTTTTCGGCAGACTTACATGATGTGCAAACCCCATGTCAGCTGGTCCAGTATGCAGACGATATTTGTGTATATAGAGAACCGTCAACTTAATCAATGTGTATCTACGCTAAATTCTTCAATGGAACACTACAAACAGTGGCTAATGGAACATGGTTTCGACATATCGTTGAAAAAATCATCCTTTTGCGTTTTCTCACGACACAATGTATCATTACAGAGGAACATACTACTGGGAGGGTTATCCTTCAAAGTTGAAACTTCTGTCAAATATCTCGGCGTAATCCTTGACAAAAAGCTCACATGGAAGCCGTATATCGAACAAGTAGTCAGTAGATGTGAGAAAGCCTTCAATTTTTTCCAGATGATCTGCAAGGTATGGTGGGGCTCCGATCAAAAGATCGCAATATTATTCTTCAGATCATATGTTAGATCTATCCTTGATTATGGCAGCATATTCTATGGCTCTGCCAGTAAAAATCTCCTTCATGTGCTAGATATAACTCAGAATAAATTTCTCAGGAAATGTCTTGGAGCAATGCAATCGTCACCAGTCGGACCTTTGCGAGCAGAAGCACAGGAGCCTCCTTTACATCTTCGAAGGCAAATGTTATCTAGCAGATTTCTACTTAAGGTACAACACGCGGACAGCCACTTACTCAGCAAAATTCATCGTCTAAACACCATGGACTTGACATGCAAATATTGGACCAAAAGAAACTCTCCGCCTCTATGCAGTGCCATACAATATGCCAACAGAATACAACTAACCTCTCATAGCCAACGATTGATCCAAGATATAAGTTACTTTCATTTACTATCAGGGTTTGATGTTAGAGTACCAGCTTACAAGCAACAACCACACCACATTCAGAACCTACTTCGAGAAGTGCAGAGTAAATTAGCAGGTGATGTATTCATTTACACCGATGCATCGAAGTCGGAGTCAGGAACGGGATGCGCTCATTATATTCCTTCAATAGATATTTTTTCCATGTTTAAACTACCAAATGAATTCACGATTTTTTCTGCAGAAGCTATTGCTATATTCCAGGCCCTACAGTTTGTAGAGGACCACAATCTTGGTAACACGTCTATATTCTCGGACTCCCTCTCTGTTGTCAGTAGTTTAAAAAACGGCAGTCCTTTCGATATGCAAAATATACACTTATTCAACATAAGATGGAAAATAAGTCAGCTAAAACAACGAGGCCTCAGGATTACACTAGTTTGGGTGAAGGCCCACTCTGGGATAATACACAACGAAAAAGCTGACGATCTAGCAAAGATGAGTATAACATCTGGAACTAAGCTGGACATACCCTTAAGCATGCAAGACAATCGAGTGATACTTAAAGGTAATTTGCTCAAGCGATGGCGCAGTGAATGGATAGAATACTGTTTTACTAATCCTACAAGATACAACCTCATACACCCTAGCCTGCCACGAGGATACTGGCACGAAAATTTCAAAATACCCAGAAAATATATTTCTTGCATCACCCGTGCGAAAATAGGACATGGTGTTTTTCCATCACACCTTGCAAGATTAAATTTGGTCCCATCTGCACTGTGCGATGTTTGTGAAGTTTATGGTGACTTGGATCACTGTTTCTTTGGTTGCGCTAAATTCCTGGATCACTGCAATGCACTCTACTCCGATTTGGTGAAATCTGGTATATCTGCCCCCCTAAATACATCTCATGTATTTTCGCTAGGTAGATCTGATGTGATCATTCTCGTTGTTAAATTTATCAGAAATTCTGGCATCAAATATAACAATCGTATTTTAGTTATCCTCTGTTTTTTGTACCTTTATGTATAAATATATCCTTCATATCCGTGGCCTAATTGTTGTATGTGAAAAATGAAAAATGCCCTGACGGGTCCCTGGGCGAGAAGAACGTGTGTCCCTGTCTGACCCATCCTCTCTCCTCCCCCTTAGAGTTGCATAGGTTTAATATGTAGTTATGGTATCCTTTAGACACTAATGTCATCTGAAAATTTGTGTGTAATGCTTAACCCCCGCCCCCTCCTGATAACACTTTCTTAGTTCTTCTATATTTACTTTTTTGTTTTTCATCCAGAGTGGAGAGTGTGCATTAGAAGAAATTTAATAATCATTTTCTCCATACTGTTTGTTAAGTACTTGCTCCTTCGCCCAAATACGACTGTGCCACCAAAATGTCTTTCCTGCAATACCCTGATAGCTGAGGGGATCTGCTTGCTACGTCATTGCCATTTTACACGTCTTAAATTATATATGTCTGTATGATATAATAGATAAATACTTGATTCTGGCTAATGGGGCAATGTCCTAGTGCCAAAAAAAAAAAAAAAAAAAAAAAAAAAAAAGTAACACGTTCTTTAGGCGATTGGACATGATTTATCTCTGTGCAAAAGTGCGTCGTTTGTCCGTTAGAGGGCGTAAATTTTCTTTTTAAAACACATTTTCCCAGATATTTTTAGTATGAATAGTCGGATTTGAATGAAACTTGGAACACATGTCTTTTGCTAGACGGACTAATGTTTGGCGTTAACAAAAAGCTGAAATGGTTCAAAAAGGGTGAAAACTACACTCACCCTTACAGAAATTATAGCAGAATTTTTTCGTAACTCTGAATATTTTTATTTAAAGAATCCTTTTGTTCACTTCATCTTTTGTCTCCTATAAAAACAGGCCAAATCGCATAGATTTCGAGAAACGAAAAATGTTTCTAAAAAATGTCCTGATTACATGAAGTGTTAAAATCAAGTGAACATCTAGTTGGCGGAATGTGGGATGTTATGTCAGTGCGGTGTTGCCAGGTCAAAAAAAGAAAATTCACAAGAAATTGAAATGAAAAGTCACCAGTTTAAAAAAATACCAGGGTTTTAAAAGCTTATTGTTTAAGTTGTATTAACGTATGTTTTGGCATAAAATATTTATCGTATTTTTTTTTTAATGATGGTATGATTTGTGTTATATCTTTCTTTCTTACCGACTCAGTACTGTGTTAGAATCTTTTGGGCACTAAAGTTATAATATTTTATTAATGACTATCTCAGAAATTTGCTCATAAAATATCATTGGTCCCTTGTATAGTTGGTTTTCGAGGGTCCGCGCATTGGCAACCAGCGCCCTCTTTTGACATAGATTGACAGTCAACTGACTGTCACTCATTTTCCTGTTGAGGTTATGGTGTATCGGTCCTCTGATTTCCAGATTTTGGGACATTGGGGGCCCCATTTAGCGGTTTATGAAATAACTTCTTGTTTTGTATCTACCTTACGTTTAATTGTTTGTCTTGGTTTGGGTGCTACTGAGTGGCGGCTCGTGACAAAATAAAAAAGGTGTTCTGCAAATCCGAACTTACCTATTTTTTATATGTCAGTTCGATCCTGCGCTCCTTCTTGGCAGCAAATCTGTCGATCACCTTCCCGTTGAAATTCTCCATGGTCGAAATAAATTCCTTTTCAATGGACAGCATCGACAACGCTGTAAGGCGATCCTGGTTCATATCATATTACGAAGAAATGTCTTGATTCTTTTCAATGTTGAGAAATTTCGCTCAACCTCTGATGTTGCCACAGGAGTTATAACAATAATTTCTAATAGCTTTTTTGTTTCTTTTAGTATTTCCTCCACACTATTTTGTATCAAAACTTTCAAAAGAGACAGAGTTTCATGTGCAATCATTCCGTGCATAAATAACAGACAATGCTGTCTGTAAACGACTTTTTTCTAATTCGGGATAAGCCAACTTGCCATCAGGAAACTTTCCACAGTATTCTCCAAAGTATTAAGGGAAAAGAAGGGATGCGGATATCAAATGATCTTTGAATTGAAATCTGTCATTTGCAGAATTCACTATATTATCGCATACTTCTAATGCGGCAACTCGGTGATCGTGACTGCTATTATTACGTCGTCTCCTTTTGTTGCCTTGGGGTTCAGTGCTTCATTTATTATGTCATCAATTTCATTTCTCACATCGGCAATACATTTTTCAAAATTATCAGATATCGTACTTCGCATTAGATGTGTACGGATCTGTATAACTTGCAGCAAATGCTTATGCTTAAATCGCGCATTTGATTTTGTATAGAGAGACAAAAGCAAGCGCGTGCGGCTTGTGCCGAAGTAGTGCACAGACCGTTTTCAAGAGGCCCATGAATAATGTTACGCTGCGGTCGCGACGAAAATGACAAGTACACAATTGGTCGATTATAATGCTTTCTCAGTACAAAACAGACGCGACGCCGTGTCTTGCGGGGGCAGCGTTGCCGGTTTTGTTTCTATTCGTGTGATAACTGGAAATTACTACTGCTTTTTTCTGTTAAGACAAAAGTTTTGGCAGTTCTGCAGCTCTGCAGAACTTAAGCGCCAGCCACCCCTGGTGCTACTCTCTCCATTTCTATGGGAGCTTAACCTCTTCAGCGTGCGATGTCACTGCGGAAAACCTCCATCTGCACTCCTCCAGCTTTGTAGCTGTTTTATAGCCGGTTTCGTTGAGAAAGCAACCGTTTCTCTTAAGGAAAACCCTGGCAGAACTTTAAGTCGAATGTAGAGGTTATCCAGGTTCCAGAAAACGTATTTTTCAGACGGATTAAAGAAATTGGAGCATCGCTTTTTCAAAAACCTTCCATTTTCTTTTCTCGTCTAAGTACTTATCTAATCGCCCTCGTATACTCAGAGATCGTGGTCTGAGAATGTGGATCAAACCTCGTATTTCAAAAACACCCAGTACAGTTTCTTCAAGTTATGCTTAACGCGGTGAATACATCTGTGTTATTATACCTATACCAACGTTTGAACCAAGCCAGCCGCGAATATTACCAGAATAAATTACAAGAAACTTGAATTTGTTGCGTAAAAGCCAATATGCATGCGTTACTGCATCAAAATGTTTCAGTTTGCAGGGCATGAATGTTGATAATTGTGAAAAGGTTATTAGTTTCTTTCTCGCTAATGCATTTTACATTTACATCACAATTTTAATATGTTTTGTGCAATATTAGCAACGATCATCAGTCAATTTCAAATGTTTTAGCTATGATTGACACATACATTTATACAAAAATGGCGTCAAGTAGATTAACTCTCTCATTCTGGACAAATTTTCGATGCAGTTTCACGCTTTCCAATCGGTCATTGTTCATCCGAATCATAAGTTTTGATCTTCGTATCAAGCGGAAAAATATGTTTACTCGTATGTGTAATTTAATAGTCTAGTCTATTACCTATGTTGCATACATCAATACTGAACGAGAAATATAAAAAATTCCAGATAAAAGATGAATAGCAGTGATGGCCAGAATCAAAGCATTTTGAAGAATAATTTTTGTAAAGTTATTATCACTTCTTACTGAACCAAACAATGCTTTTGGTGTTACGCCACTGGAACACACCGTTATATTAAGACTAGCAACTTGGATTTGATCATTAAGCTGTTTAATTGCATAGTAAAATTTATAAATTCGGTTTGAATTACATAATGTCAAACTAGCAAATTTTTACTGCACGCCACTGAAGGCAATATCGTTCAATGAGTGCTTCAATCTTTTTAAGGGCGCAAGAAACAAATACCTATTCTCAAGAGAAACCCCACAAAAGTCCATTTTTTAGTGATAAATGTACCACTTTTTTAAAATTAGATAATTTTAGTTATAGGCATGTTTCAAAAAAACTTTCTTTAGGATCGTCCAAAGATCATAAAAAAAATCCCAGATCATAAATTGAGAATCTGACATAGCCCAAAATATCGAGACTTTAATTTTGGTAAAATTTTCCATGTTGCAAAGCCGCTGTCCACCAGCTTATTCATCACCTTAAGAAATTCCAGACTATTTTGAAAAAAAACAATTAGTGATTATGCATAACTCTACGCATCCTTTATTGAATTTCTGAAGCCACATGTGCTCATTATAATCGAATTAGGCGTAAGGTCGCCTTATTTGACCCTATACGTAATTATCACAAAAAAGTGACCTATACACCTGTCGATTCTTTGAATAGGTGACATTGCACCTTGTAATTTCAACAACAAACATCCAATAAATAACAGTTAATGTGCATAATTATCGAGGTGAATTGGCATAACCTATATTATTAATAAAATAGACAATTGCAATATGCTGCGAATAACACTTCGAGAACCAGTTTTGAATAATAACGATCTGTAGATGTCCGATTTTAACTTATAAACATTTCCAGGTTCTCTTAATTTTTGGGTATACCTCCAACAGGTATTGAATTTGTCAAGCGTAAGAGCCTGAAATACGTCTGTTTCCATTACCAGTCCGGTGGCCCAACGAAAAGATCGCACCCCTATGTGTTACTCGTCTGACACATTTTGGGAAAAACACTCGGATACGTCAATAATCGTAGGGCATTTGCAGGAAATCTTTGAGTGAAGCACTTAAGCGTAGAGCTAAATTGACTGGAAGATTAAGAAATTGCCCTCCTTCATCCAAAACCAAGTCATCAATTGTTTGTTTTACTTTTACAGGTGGTGGAAGAAACCTATTGTCTAGTAATCTAAATAGGCCACTTCTTGGACGACAGCATTCTGTATTTCTACATTTTACAATTATAGCCATCAATTTCCATTGAACTCCATACTTCAGCTAATACATTTCCTACAAATTCGAAATTAGATCTTTCTAAATGTTCATCAGTTGTAACGCCACGTTCATCCAAATAAGACCCAAAATGGTCATGAGGCAATATTAAACCAGCCAGTTCCCGACTAAGAGGAGCCATTCTGCGCTCTACTCTGTTCTTCCAGGAGCATTGGTAGCTAAAAACAATGCATCTAGATCACGTCGCTTAAAGTGTTGTATAGCAAACCCTATGACTTTTTGATAACGTGGATTTTCATCTGGCCCTCCATCAACTGTCATGATTACCACTGCTTTTACTAGTCCATGGTTAGTTTTAGCTAATGGTCGAAACTCTTCAAGTTCGAGAAGCGTCTCGAAATCTTGAGCATGAGTATTAACAGTAGATGAACTATGCTTTCCACATCGAATAGCGATGTTAGTTGGTCCAGAATATCCAACGGCTTGCGGTTGTCCTAGCATATTGGAAGTGATTTTGATTCCAGCATAAACAGATGGTATTAATTTATGACGCTCAGCGATTACCCAATCGTGATCAGGCAATTTGATTCTATATTCCATGTGCATTAGAAGAGGTGCTTGCTTATTTGCCGCAGTTACGCCAATAGGGACTCGAGCTTTATCATCTTGAGATATGAAAAATACTTGATCTGGTCCAAGTATGGATGCTATGTTCTCTAAATAATGTTGATGTTTCAGCGAACTTGCTATCTAAGTGGCTCTTGTGGTGATCAGTTTGAGCCCGAATGAGTTTAACAGGAACTGTCGATACATGTCTTCGTCCCTCTGCAGAATTAGATTTTCTGGGAATCAAACGAAGATATGTCCCGCTGCGACTAATGTCAAATCCTATTTTACGTAATTCTTGTGTCCGTTCCGTTCGTCTTCTATCATCTGCTGCACTCCCAAATAAAGCTATATCCGCGATTGTTTTCAATAGTGAATGTTGATTGCTTTCAAGATTAGGACGTCCCATTGAATCCCTCAGGGATGTTATATGGCCATAGTAACTACGCAGTTATTATACAATGTTGCACCAGACGCTGTGTCAGCATATGATAACAACTTCTCGCTAATCCGTTGCTAGAATAGTGCATTTGCTGTTTTCTGCTAATTCCTAGTCAGCTTTCCGAATGTATAAATAGGCCTCGCGGCCATATCCTGTGGTTCAATACCCGGCGCCACACCGTAATGTACGCTAACTGATAAGTTCAATACCCGGTTAGACTCCGTAAATGTCACAGGGATAGTCTTTTTTTTATTTCTGGATTTTCAGGACAAATAGCTTCTAACTTTCTTTTCATACCATCCCTGTGTTTCTTCCGGGCAACTGCGTTTTGAACCTTCCTGTTTAAAGACTGTATTGATGTTTTTATTTCCTGATCTGTTTATCAACTTCAGCACGGCTTGGCATAGTAGATATCTCTTTCAGAATACAAAGCATTCAGATTTTTTTCGAGTAGAGCAATCTTATTTTTCATAGCTTCCTGTTGCTCTCTGATTATCTGTATTTTCATTAATTTCGCATTGCTGTTGTGATTCATTACCGGGTTTTATTTTATCTTCTTCCTCTTTTTGAATATTTGAAGCTGACTGTATAATTTGTGTTTTTTCTGCAGGTTTACAGGTTGCCTAAAAACAAAAACTTTCTATGGCTTCTGCTAAAGATTCTCTTATTAAGCTACATAAATACAAAGTATGGCAATATGTATATGGTAGATATAAAACTCTGTGGCTTTAAATCTAATATGTTTAAACGAGCAATTTGTTCCGGTCACCAAATACAGGGTGTTAGTTTTCTGTATATATGTATAAAACTAACATCCTGTACTTTGTGACCAATTGACGGAATCAATCCTAAGAAATAGATCTATAATATAATGAATATTACCTCTATACTTTGAGGTAGGCCATAATATTTTCTAATCTGCAAAGAGAAACTTTTTGGCGATTTCTAATATTTCCAGTACTCATAGGTACCTCAAATGATTTCGTCACTCACCTTAGAAAAAAAATTTAGTAGATTGGATTTATTCTTAGTCGCCGCTTGCAATTCTTCTTCGATTCTCTTAGATACAATAATATCCAGTTCCTTGTCGGATTTTGCTTGTAATTTGTGATTTCGCCACACTTCGTAAACTAACTTTTGTACATTTTGTACTTTCGTACTTGTATGAGATTTTTTAAAACCTTCAAACAATTTTTGGTATAACTTGGATTTGTCTATGTGAAACGACATCTTATTTAAACATTACACTTTGGCTAATGGAATCAATGGTAACACAAATGTTAACTTGCTTTACTATGCTTACAATACGTCTACTCGCTATAGTATCCAAACGAAACAATACACTGATAGAGGAAATTTAGACAAGTGAACACCGCGCGGTAATTCCCCTAATCGGTTCTAAAGCGAGTAGGGGAATTACCGCGCGCTGTTCACTAAACGTATGC